CAGCTCCACACTCGTCAGGAGACAGGGAAATACAAACTTTTATAACTACAAAAGCAATCACAGAACCTGCAGAAATGACTAAACATGGGTTGAAATTATTACTTCCATTAGCAGAGACAAAACTCAGTCATGAAATTTCCTTTCTCGGGAGGATTATTAAAAAAAATGTGACCTAATGAAATCTGAGTTACAGGCTGGAAGGAGACAGTTGGCTTTTTTATAACTGTTCCCTCTGCTCCATTTTATGGAACCTGCAGTTCAGTCATCCCCCAAGCATTTCATACTTTCCTTGGGGTGGGCATGCCTGTGCCTTGTGCCAGGGACTGCAGCTGGAAACATGAGTGCATGTGGCTGCAGTGTGCCCACGTGTGAGAACACGGATCCAGCAGATCATAGATTTCCATACATATACATTTATTTATTTAACAAGATAGCACAGTTGGTTAAATGAAATATGCTGTGCATAAGCATTATAAACTTATACTCGATTTTTTTCCCCTTTAGCATGTATTCCCTGCTACTTCAGTAGACAGCATCAAGCGTACATAATTACTAATTAAATTCCTACAACAATAATAAAACTATGTCCTTAAGGATGCAACAGATAAACACTGATATACAAACAGACTACATCACCAGTGACATCTTATTTTCTAGACCGGCTTGGAGGAAGAAAATCTTCCCCAAAACAACCATATCACATCAAAGTAGAACACAAGGCAAGATGTTCCCTTGGCAGGAAGATGAAGCAGAAGTTTGTGAGCACAGGGAACTGCCACGTTAAACCCCCAGTGATGGCTTTTAAAGACATGGGCACCTCTGCTTGTAATTTCACTACTGCATTTGGAAGTCTCCAGCGACTTCAACATTCATCTGTCTCTCTAACAATGCATTTGGTTCTTTGATGATCTGGTTATGTAGGTTCCCTTTGCAACTTAGATTAAGGAAAATAACAACCATTTAAAAAGAGCTTCCTTGAAAAGTTAGTAAAGCATTTGCTGTTAAGCTGACTGAGTTCTGCCACCCCTGCAAGCAAAACTCCTCTACAGAAACGCCTTCAACACCACATGAACATAAAGAACTCCTGAAGGAGTGGCAGAAGTTAAAGTATGTATGTAATGTAAGGCAAAAAGCAGTTATGGAAGGCTCTGTTCCACTAGGAATTTTTTCATAGATTGCAAGAAGATTTGGATCAGGCCATGTTGCATCAAGAAGGCTAAATCTTGCATATTCTATGGGAAATCATGTATTTTCGAAGTGTGTCAGAAATAATTTCCAACAGGATTTCATTAAACACAATGACAACAGACTTCAAAGGAAAAGAATATTTAATTGTGACACAGTTTCCTACTCACTGTCAAAACTACCATGATTTGACTGTGTCCACGGACTAAATCCCACAGTGTTTTTCGTCTGTATTCTAATTTTCACATTAATTTCTCCTGACCTCATATTGCTTGCCTGTGTATCTGCAAGGAGGATGAGTTTTCACAGACCCAACACAGATACGGTCACTGCTACTTCACCACACCCCCGAAAGACAACTGCAACAAATTTCCTCAGCAACCCATTGCACAAAGAGGTAACTGGGACAGAAGAATATTAATCTCCCCTAAGAATTTTTATGTAAATGGCAAACAATACTCATTTATTTCATCCAGTCCAAAATACTTGCAATACAGGAAGCTGAATCTTCAACCTGCTCCTTGAACATTGGTATTACACAGAATGTGCAACTGTACTCTGGGATCCAGATGGATTTGTAATTCCAGGAAAAGGCTCTGGGATGCTTTAGACAAAAGGGTTCTGTCGTTGTCCCCGCTGGCAGTTTGCTGATGGGAAGCAGGATTACCGGGCTGGCTGTTTCAGGTGAACAACCTGGCAAGTGAGAGTTAGCAGAGCAGCAGCCCCCAAAGGCTCCCAGCACCTGGGCTGACAATCAGCACTATTCAAAAGTGAATGGTTCTCTTTGGCTCATTGAAAGGAAAACTACAAGGGTTACAATACAAGGTTTGGGGTTTATTGTTCTTGCAACTGAACCCTCAAAAAAAACTACCTGGAACAGTGCCAAAGGCATTAGTTCTGATTCCTGTGAAACTGAACTGAGATCTGACTAATTCCTGCTTGGAGCCAGTGCTCTCCTCCTCCAAGAAAAGTCCTACTGCCTGCTTAACAACCACAGGGCCCCTGAAAATCCAGCTAGAAACTCTCACCTGGATCCTCAAGGGCCTTTTGAAAGGTTTGATGGGGATTTTTTTTCCCGTTTAACCTCTCAATTTTTCATACAGGTGTTGTTTTCTACTAAGCTTTCTATAACCCCGATTTAATACTGCCAAATGCTATTAGAGTTCGCTGTTTAGGATATCTGTTTTTTCTTTTTGCTATATGAATGTGTCTAATTTAAACTTGGAGCCCTTGGAGCCGGTCCTTTAAAACTAGCTGTTAAATTCCTAAGCAAATGGGTGTTTTAATGGAAAGGCTGACATACTCCTAACTGTGGGAGCGTGAATAGCTCCACTATGAGATTACTCAAGTCCACATAGAATACAAATGCAATACTGGACCACAGGTTCAGATCTTTGATCTCTTTTTTTTTTTTTTTTTTCTTTGCAGAGGCTGTGATGTATAAAGCCAATTCCACTGTGCAGACAGTACTACACGGAATATAAATTATCCTTTAACTATAGCGAGGCTCACATTTAAAGAAATGCTGCAAGAATGAACAATGCAGCCATGAAGTAGAGTTCTTCTGTAGTAAAAATACACACCAAGATCTTCATGGATAACCATGTTTTCAAAGGACAACATTTCTTCCACAGCTGTTATTTGATAAAAAATAGAGTAAAATCTGGAGTATTGGGCATACAGAAGTAGAGTTGGAGCTCGCTGCTTGCTCTCTCCATTAAAAAAGCGAGCTAGGAACACTTGCTTTATTGCCCAGATTAAGCATCATTCCCCTAAGAGGCATAAAAAAATGATTTTAAAATGTGGAAACCAACAGTCTCTACTGAATATGGCTTGAAATTTAAACATGTCTTTTCCAGATACCTCTTTAGAGGAAGAACCTTCTGCCTACTGAGCTAACACTAAGCTCCCTGGAGTTAAGCCATGAATATTCTAAACCTATCTCTTACAATTCAGGAAAAGTTGTCTTTTGCCAAAATAAAATGCTTAAGAGGAATTCAATATGCTTCTACTGCTCTTCTTCATTTTATTTAAAATAAGTGTTTCCATCTCAACTTCATGCCAAATACACAGCAAGGGAGAGACTGAGTTCTGGAAATGTTACCTGAGATTCTACACACAAATGGGAGAACAAATTCCTTCTGAGAACATCAGCTATTCAGGGTTGGTTTGTAAATCAGCATTTAACCAACTCTTTAGCAGTTACACATGGGCACTGTTGAGGATTCTTACATGAATTTCTCTGCTGTTTACATCAGTTGTTTCTTAGGTGGTGCTCAGCCATGGTGCATCCGCGCTCTGGGATGCTCCTCTGCACGCCAACTTTGTTTGTGTGTGTGGGAATGTTAGTAAATAAATAAATAAATAAATAACTTTGTTTCTTATCTTACCTCTTTTGACCTGTGCAATCTGGCAGATCAATGCTACTTCCACTGCAGACAAGCAAAAAGTTACAATTTATCTTTCACTTAATCTTTTTTTGTTGTCTTTAGGCTTCCTTTCAGCAAGGCGTGAAGAAGGTGCTCTTTATGGCTCAGTTGTCCATGCCAGAATACAACTGAGCACAAAAAGAATGCAAGGGTGAGCTGATAGTATCTACTGTCCTCAGCTCTGCTTTGGTTCAATAAACTTGAACATCTTCTCCCCTCCTCTGCCGATTGAGATAAGCAGCAACAATTACTCAAAATGTATTATCAATTCAAGCTGAAAAAGGCAGGATCAGCTGAGCCGGCTGCATCTCTCCCAGCCTCAGTTTCCTTCAGTGTCCGAGAAGGGCAAATAGGTCCCTGCTTGCCTCTTGCCATGCACCTCGCAGCTACTTTACAGGCAACTACACCCAGGCTGCAAAACGAGAGAGATAAATCCTCTGCCTTCCACATCGTCTGCAAGGCTCCTGCCTGTAGGCAGCAGGCTGCAGGATCTGTAGCACGATGGCAAAAGTCACAAACGAACCATCCTTCCCTTCCCCACACGATCACATTCTCTCCTTGTCTTTCTGTGTTCTGCTCTCTCCTCGCCTTTCTGTGGTCTCCATAGCTGAAACCAAGAATTCACTGGGCATCACTGCAATGCCTCTAACCAATTCTAACTGTATCCAGAGCTTGAGTCAATTAAAACACATTTCAGCTTCATCTGGTTTTCATCCCATTCCAGTACTCCACATACACAGCAACTTTAAGCTTACAGACATCCCTTCATGGTTCAAGAAAATCCTTCAATCAAAGAACTTCATTTACAATCTAGCATAGTTTTTGCCTTCTCTGCTCTCACAGCAGCCTGGCATTTTGATGCAATCCTCATTTAATGCAATCTCCATTACAGGACTATGATCACATCAATAAAATGTTCCATACGTTTGGGGGGCTTTTTTGCATCCCTCACCCCCTCTCACTAACAGTAGGCACTATATCTGCAAAAAACAACAAATCAAACAGGCTGATGGGATCCTCTAGGGAGGTAGTGGGGGGCACACATTCAACAAAATGCAGCAGCCAATGCAAACTGCCCATCAGAGACCGAGCCCTGGATCTCCTCATTCCTGAGCTAGGCGAGTTGCTCACTGTCCGCGCCGTGAGCACACATCCTCACCGTGCTGTGCTACCAGACTAAAAATAATACAGCTTTTGCAATCACTTGTGAGCTCCGTGTACTTTTCACAGGAGCGGACTCTCATTTTACTTGATCGGTTCCAGCCTATCCATACTGCTCTGGATGAACCGCTGAGGCTCTGCTTCCAAGGGTGGGGGGGATGCTGGACAAAAGATATCATATAAAAAGATACAAAAATCCCCCTTTTCCCCAAGCCCCCTTCTTACCTTAAGCGCCTTCTCTGCACAAGATGCCAATCTACATGGGCTCCTCAGCACATCATCAAGGCGTTTAGAGTAGTGAAGGCTGCCCCGCTGCATGGAAGTTAGACAGCTTTGCAACAGCAAATCCTCGATCCAAAGCGCCAGCCGCTTCTTCCCATGCAGTGTGCCGAGCACGAATCACACGCGACTTCCACATAGGGAATAAAATTGCAAAAGAAACGGGGGGGAAAAAAAAAAAAAAAAAAAGATATCCTAACTTTTAGGTAACCTGAGTTTGTTTTATTTCTGTTGGGTTTAGTCAATTATCTGCTTTTGCAGCCGCGAGAAGATGGCAAGGCAGTCGCGCCCTGGAAGCTCCGCACCAGTCCGCAGAGGTCCGGCCGCGTAACCCAAGTTGCGCGGAGAGACTCTGAACTCGGTGCGGCTCCGCAGCGCAGCCCGGCAGCCCTTCCCTCGCCGGGCGGCTGCGGACACCGGAGCGCCGGGTCCCCCCGCGGGGCAGCCGCCGCCGCTGGGCGCTCGCCCGGCCCCCGGCGGGGCTGGCCCGGTGCTGGCCCGGCTGGCCCTGGGGGCGCGGGCTGCGCTGCCGGCGGCGCCCCGGAGCCCGCGCTGTCCCGGCGGCGGCGGCGGCGGCGGCTCCGGCTCGGCTCTGCCGCGGCCGCCCGCGCCCCGCTCTGCCGCTGCCAGCCGGCCCTCCCCGCGGCTGACATCAGCGCCAGGAGGAGGAGCGACGCCGGGGACGCGAATAGCCGGGCCGAGGGGGGTTCCCCCTCCCGGAGCCGCCCTGCCCGCTCCTCTCGGAGAATCCCCCGAAAGCGGCGGCGTGGCCGCTCCGCCGCCTCGCCGGGGGGGGCGGCCCCAGTCCCCGTCGGCGCCCCCCGCCCTCCGGTACTGCCCGGCGGGCGGCTCCCAGACAGGGGAGAAGCGGGGGAGAACCGGCGCTCGGGGCGGGAACGGGACCGGAGCGGGGCGCGGCGCTCGCAGCCCGGGGCGGCCGGGCAGCTCAGCGCCGGCGGTGCGTTCTGCCTCCCTCCGCCGCGCTCCCCGCCTGCACAAGCGCTGCGGCGGGGGAGCAAGGAGGGGATGTGAGGGATCGCCCCTCGGCCTCGCCCCGGCGGCGAGAGCGCCCGTGCCCGCGGAAGAGCTGCCGCCCCCGGCTCCGCCGCCCGCCAACCGAGCCCGTCAGTGCGGCGGTGCCCGCTCCGACCGCCCCCGCCGCAGCCCGGGATGGCAGCGGAGCCGCCGCCGGCCGAGCCGCGCTCCGGAGCGGAACGGGCGCCGGGGGGACAGCGCCCGGGGATGAACGGGATCTTCCCGGCGGCGGGGCTGGATGCCCGGGCTCGGGGGTGTTGGGTGCTCGGGTTCAGAGGATGCTGGGTGGCCGGGTTCGGAGGATGCTGGGTGCCCAGGCTCGGGGGTGTTGGGTGCCCGATTTCGGGGTTGTTGGGTGGCCGGATTCGGAGGTGTTGGCTGCCTGGTTTCAGAGGATGCTGGGTGTCCTGGTTCGGGGGTTTTGGGTGCCCGGTTTCAGAGGATGCTGGGTGCCCGAGTTCGGGGGGTGTTGGGTGTCCGGGCTCGGGGGTGGGGCGGGTGTCCCGCACGTTTCAGCAGCTCCTCTTTAGGACCGGAGCTCGGGGGTGCGAGAGACCACGACGGAGGCAGGGGGGTCGTGCCGCAGCCTCCAGCGGGAACCCGCTGCCCAGGGGAGCAGCGCTGGCCCCGGCTCGTCCCCAGTGTCCATCGGGCCGGGCTGTCCCGCCCGAACCGGACGCCGCTCCCCGGCAGGGGCAGAGCTGAGGTCGGGGGGTCCCCCGGGGATGGGGGCTGGTGGCCGTGTGAAGTCACTTCAGTCTGTGATCAGGGATCAGTGGATGGCACAGTAAGGCTGTGGTGGTGAGTTCAGCTTGCGTGAAAATACAGTTTAATTAATAGTTAATTTGTGGTGTTGATTTTAGTAATTTGAGTATCTTGTATTATTTGCAGTATTTTGCCAGATGCCTGCAGTAGGCACTCCTCAGTGAACACAATAATTATTTGTAAATAATTGAGCATTTTTTCTGTACTTGGGTGACACGACAGTTTTAAACTCTTCTGATGAAGAGAAGACATTGCACTTACCCTAACAGCACACATTTTTCTTGTGTTCTTCTTTAAATAGTATGAGAATGCCTGTGAAAGCCTTATTTTACCTTCTTCACTGTAGCAAGATGTAGGTGATGTCTCACTTTTATTGCTAAATATAGTTAAAATGCCAGAATTTCTCTAAAATAAAGGTATATAAGTGAGAGGATGAGCAAGTTCTAAAACCAGCTTCTGAAAATCCCCAGTCATTCAGTGAATTGTCTCCATCTTACCTGTTAACTCATCTATTCAGTGAGATTCTTTGAATATGGACTCGGAATGAACAATTGCATGGCCATTAACCATGCTGAGATACTCCAGAACAGATGTAATGCCTTTTCTTCTAGGTCATATTTCCATATCATATTTCAGTCACCTGACTCTAACCAAATGCCCATTGTATTTTACTCTACTGGGTGCTAAATTCTTTGAATTTAGTGAAGTTATGACTTCATTATTTTTGCCCCACATACATACAGATGGCAGAGGTGCCCCATTATGTACAAACAGAACATTACTCACAAATTAGAGTTTGTGTCCTGGCTCCTGTGCACCACGCTGCTGAGAGTAACACCTACCAGAGTCAGGGAGACTTATTTATCAACATTCCTGAACATTTTGTAATAAAATGGCATATACAGAAACTCCAAAAGGATAAAAAAATAAAAAGCAGAGTTCAGCTCTGTGTGTTTGGTTTATGTCATGGTGGTAGCATACAGATGAGGACTGGCTATCAATCCTGTTAATACCCATTTCACCGAGCTGCTGTTACAGAGCATTTCTAAAATAACAAAGTCCATAATGGACAACTGTATTTTACACCTAAGAAGAGGCAATTGGGAAAGGAATTTCTGTGGATTGCTTGGACACAAATGACCTTCAGGATGGTTTGTCCTGTTCAAGAGCAAGCAGCTGTGATAGCATCAGCCAGTCCAGGAAGGAAAGCAAGGGGCATGTCTTGGGGAAGATGACCTGTCCGGCTTTCCAAGGAGTGTCTAAGCTACAATGGATCCAGCATTCTGCCTCAACTGTGCTTGAATTACACGGACAGAAGTCAAATTTAAATTAAAAAAAATCATTAAAAAATTAGTAAGAAGTAGGTGTGTTATTTAACAGATACTGGGGAGAAGCCCTGAAAAAGGGCAAGAACCCTTTACAAACCAGAGCAGCTACATAATAAAACTGGAGAGTCTGAGTCAGAATAACTCTGTCCATGCAGAAAATGCTATGAACAAAATACTTTTATTCATCAGAAGATATTGCTGCTACCCTTGATTCAGATCAAGGTCTAAATCCTGAAATTGTTTGTTACTCTGAGCACATGAAGAGGCCTCACAGGAACTATTCACATGTGAAAAGAGCTAGGACCAGAGCCAAAGTTTTGCATACTGTGAAGGTCAAGCTTGCTTCCTTTCTAAAACTTGCACTTAGCAGACAAACTCTCAGAACTATGGTTTCCATAGAGCACCTTCAGCTCATTCCTCAGGATGCTGTAAGCAGTGTGGCTGATTAAGAGCAATTTGTGTCCTAGCAGGTCTCTGAGACTTTGGGGCCGGGTGCCTTGCAGGGAGCTGCTGCCTTGCAGAGCAGCGGCTGCCCCTGCCTTCCCCTGATTGCAATTATTGTGCTTCTTCTTCCCACAGATGCCAGGCTTTTTTATTAACTTCTCAAAATGTAAGAGTCCTATGGATATTATGCAACTCTTGGCTTTACAGTCATGGAAAAACCTGTTAATAAAAAATGCACTGCCTGTAGGACGAATTCTCAGCATTTTTGCAAAGGTCACATAAAATATATTGCTTGAGTAGCCTTACTTTGGTCGCCAGATAAGTCATTGAGAGGCCACATGATGACAGCTGCAGAGAAAGATTGTAATTCACTTTTATGTCTCTATGCAAGAAAATAAGAGACACAAGCTTTCCCTTCGGTGCTGGGGATGGGGGCTGCGTGGAGATTGGTGCAGGGAACAAAAAGGAGCTGCTTTCACCAGCCTGACAGATAAGGTTGGAGGTCCTTCTCTGCTGAAGGCCTCACAGAGTTCTGCTTTGTTTCTTCTTTGCTGGCAGAACAACAGAAAAACTCAGAGAACAAATTGCAGCCACATCATACCACATCTTTGGTAGGATTTTGCCTCAGTCCCAAAGATGACTTTTATTCTCCATATACTTATGTGAGCAACAGTTTCTTTCTCTCCTTTTTTTCTCATCCCCATTTAGTGGAAATGTAAAATAAATCCCTCTCGGGTTTTTGAGCACTAGCCCGGATTTTACATCTACTTCTCAATAATGGAAATTCCCAAGTTTTGCCTTTCCATTGCACCATTGTATCAATGCCAGTTGATCCTGTATTTGGATTTGCTAATAACACAAACAGTGGGTCTGGGTCTCCCAGAGCCCAACTCTTTGCAGTGCTCTATAATTACAGTGGCTGATCTTCTTTTGTCTAAATTACTTGTGGAAATATTATTTTTTGGCCAAGAAGCTGGCATAACATCAGGTCAAATCACTTTATGTCATATACAACAACAACTAGAAATGACACAAATGGATAAAAAAAGAAACCCTACAGCTACAAATCGAGATGAACAATTGTCACATGTTTATATGCACCCTACTCCTTTCATTCCAGGATTGGAGATATTATACACCTATTGCTGATAGGGAGGAAGTTTAGCCTGCACTTTTTTTAAAAGGGTCTCAATTTCTAAATACACAGATTTTTGAGGGAGAGCCAGGCACCAGTGGTGGCTATCATCTCACAGAGGTGCTGCCAGAACCATTAAAACACAGAGCTCTGGAAGTCTCGTACTTAGCAGCGGGAGGTAGAACAAACTAATTTTATTATCAACTCAGCTGTCAAGTGACAATGTTTTTTAAATGCCATGAATTATGTATAAAACACATTAATTTTTATGCTCTGCTTGGAGAGTTGCTGCATGCACACCCAAAGGGCAGGGCTTTGGCAGGGGCTGTGCCAGGCAGGACAGGGGGAACTCGTGGTCCCTGCTGGAGCAGCAGCAATGATATCCATGACAATACAGGTGGCAGCTTAAAATGACTCAAATAAGATCAAAATCAGAGCGAGTCTTGCAGCTAGGAATTAATGAAATACCTGTCCTTGATAACAGCAAACTGAGTAATAGGAATCTGCAGAAACTGTTCATTTAAATACATTTTGTAAACGTAACAAGTTGCACTGTGCTGTTCTTTGCATCTTTAAGAGTGTCTGGGGATTTATGTCTTGCAAAATAGAAACAAACTAAGAAAGCTGAAATATATTGTGTCTTTAACTGTACTTTACAGCACAGCTTGTGTT